TCCCCCCTCCCACGCCACACCACTCTTCCACTCCCGGCCCCGCCCCCCCTTTAACAGAGGAGACGCGCGCCGCCGGGTAGACGCCCACCGGACACGCGCTCCCTGTCATCCGGTCGCCGTTGAGGCCGCGCCGCCGGCCCTGCTCCCCTGTCGCAGCTTCTGTCACGCGTCTTGGGCCGGGGCTCTCGCCCCCGCGCCCGAGCGCGTCCTGCGGTCGTCTCGTGCAGCCGGGCGTCTTCTGGGGAGGTTCGGTGTTGGGGCGCTGCCTCCCTCTCCCGGTCTTCGGCGCTGGCGTCGGCCGGTAGGTCAGGGTGTGGGGAGTTCCTCGGGGCGTCATTGTTAAAAGTATATGCTTTTGTGTGAGTGTTTGTCTGTTTTGGCAGGTCACTGCGTGGTGTGGCTCTCTGACTCTCACAGTTTAAAATTTTGGCTCTTTTTGTCGAACTTGTTCGCCACCCCTGCTCCAGTCCATCAGAATCCAAGCTAGCCTCTTCTCTTCAGGGCCTTAGCTTAAATATAGTTTTTGAGCCCTGCACAGCAGGCAATGGTGACATCCAATCAGGACACACCTTCAGGAGAAGCCTCTAGAAAGATTACCTCATCACCCCTAGCTCTTCCCTGCAGGTTCTCATGAGAAGCTCATTACTTTGGCCCTGAAGGTGATAAGAGCTGTGTAGGCCAAGGGGCCAATTAACACCACCTGCGAGATAGACCTGGCCCCTTACAGTTCACATTAACGATTGCAAATGAAGTTAACAAATAAATATTTTTGCACGGTGGCTGTTTTATGACTTTGCTGCTGATTTACAGCTCAGTTTAAGAGTTATTAATTCTGCATGACATCCACGCTTGTAAGTGCTTCTTGTGAAGAACAGTGGTATTTCACGCTGTAACCAGAAGGTGCTGAAACTTTCTAAGGCATAAAGCCGGTGCAGAAAACGGGCGAGGATCAATGCTATGTTTCATGACGGGATTGCCAAGTGACCAGAAGAAAAATCTGCTCGTCCTGTCTCTGTACGTTTGACAGCAATCTGATCTACAGAAATCAGCGAAGGGAAATCTTGCACAGCCCAGAGATAAACATGAACAGCTTGAAATATCTGCCGATCAAGCAGAGGAACAGAGGTCCTGTCCATACGAGGCCTTTTGGGCCGGGAGCAGGATGGAATGGGGGCGGAGCAAACGGGCACGATCCCACGGCAACATCTGGGAATCGTTGCCTGCCCGTCCCTGTTCCGTCCCAAACGGCGATACCGCGCTGTAAAAAAGAACCACCTACCTAGGTGGTTGTAGCCCTTCCAGCGCTGCAAGCCGGGCCGTGGGATCGGGCAGCGCGTCCTTGCGCTGCCGCATCCTGGCCCCCGGCCGTACTGCGCATGCTCGAGCATGCGCAGTTCGGCAGCCTCCTCCTCCCATCGGACTTTCCTCCCCGGCATCTGATCATGCCGGGGAGCGATGCGCCGCGGCTGAGGGGATCCGTGGGATCCCGCCGCGGCGTCTCAAGTTCGGTGCGGCTCTGCTTAGCCGCGTTTCAGCTGTCCCGTGTGGCAGCAGCCAGAGACAGGCAAAAAAGTTGCCTTCCTTACAAGACCTACTGTGCCAACAAGGGAACCATTCCTCCTCCCACCATCGTGCATGGAACTTTTTTGCTTCCCCCTTAAATTCTGTGAAAAACGTACCCCCACGGCACGCTTGGATGATGATCACTTTGGGCTTATCCCTCAGAGCTGGGCAGTTCTTGTTGTTGAGGATGGAGTAGATGGTGTCATGGGACAGGATGTCAGAGTTCTCGCCCTGGCTCTTCACTCCACACAGGCCGGCCCGCAGGCCGTGAGACATGAGCACCACAAAGGTGCTGTCGGAGGCCTCGTGTTCCTTCCGAGCAGCAAACTTTCTTAAACGATCGGCCATTTCCTGTAAGCAACAAGACAGGAGGTCCTGTCAGTCTTGAACCGACAGGCAACCGTGCATTGACAGGACAACTGGGGCGCCTCAGTGCTCTTCTTCTTTTATTTCCCCACTAAGGATCACTGCCTGAATGCCCCTCTCCCCTTCTTACAGCTCTTCTCTACTGGCGGCAGGTTGTTCTTCTCCCACAGTAGCCCTGACTTCCATGTGCTATTGGAACTCGTGGGCCACTAAACTGACTGTAATTGTTTCCCTTTTGATTAAAAAAAAAACATTTCGTTGACCTCTGATTCTCACTATGAATCGGATTGTCCTTCCCATACAAATCCTGCCATGCTAGGTCACATTTTACAGGATGCTGAAGACTGGGAAACTCCAGATGTGTCACTTGGCCTTAAAAAGAAGCTGTGGAGAGTCCCCAGATCTGCAGCAGGGTCCTGGCCCTGAGGAAGGTCAACTGTTCCTCTCTGTGCCTGCTTGGCAGCTGCCGAAAGAACAAGAGACACTGCAATGTAAATCAACTGGCAACCCCAACCTTCCAAGTCCCCTGCCTACCTCTGAGCATAAATTGGTATGCGATTCCACTTTGTACCCCAGGCCTGTCAGGAGGCGCTCCATCCCTGCTTTGTCCACTTCGGCTCCATCCCTCCTGGAGAAGCAGGCAGACTCAAAGTCTATGTTGCAGATGATCAAGGCCAAGCGGGTGCGTCTCTTCAAGTCCCTGATAGGATAGATCTGTTGGGAAGCAGGGGAATGACACTAAGCCAGGCTTGCAGAAGAAGGGATAGCAGTACACGGTCATTTTGGACCAAAGAGGAATCATGCAAATCCCCTGGTTTCCTGGGATCAGTTCTCTCTTTGTAGAGCGAAGAGCCAGAGTTCCTCTTAAAATTTAGCACCTTTGCAAAGTGCTAAATCACAGCAATCACAGCAGGAAGGGCACGGCTGTCTTGTCAGGAATGGCTGCTTAAGAGGCAAAATGTTAAAAAGGAATGTGCTGTCAATGCACTTACGAGATACAGTATCTACAGCTGAGACCATCACTGCAAATCTTAGATACGGGAAGGGTGACTTTTTGAGTGTAAAGATTTAAAAATAGGCGGGAGTGGCGTAGGATGGTTGGCCAATGTTTCTTACTCTGTTCCTCTGTTCTTATGCCTCGGAGCAGCTAGGTGCACAGATGTTAGCCAGTGATAATATTTAAATCC